CTTGCAACTTGAGCAATGCACTCTGCAAAAGAAGCTGCAAAAAGGCGGGAAACTCGTCCCTGCACCGGGGTTCTCCTCTGCAATAGGAAACTCTCCCGTGCAATGAAGCTGCAACCTGGCGGGGATAATTCTGGTGCCGAAGCACACACAAAATCATGCCTTTGGGTCATGACATAACTAAGCATGATAGGCAAGCTTAACGGCAGACCTGTGCCTTATTTGGTCTTACTCTGCAGGTTGAAGAAGAGTCCTGCAATACTAGTAATTTTCCGCTAAAGCTTTGCGCATGCGAAATATCATGTAACCAGAGAATATAAATACGTGTGAGAGAGTGCAACAGGGGCCCCCTCTGCCTTTCTAAGGTCAGGGGACCTTCGGCCGAATAAACTGAAAAGACCACACCCTCGTCTCCTGCTTATTTGGGTGTCAGCTGGGAAACGAGCCCCATTGGGGTCAGGAGTATTCGCAGGTGTTCCCTTTCCAGGTTGGGAGCTTAAGTGAATAATTTCTCTGATACAGCCTTGCTGTCCCCTCCCCTGGGCAGGTGGCTGGGCGGCATGTGTGTGGCCCACGCATGGCAGGCACCACCATACTGCCTCCTGTATCACTTGCCCGCAAAGCCCCTCTGCAGAGGGGCACCCCTGCCCTCACCTCCTGGCCCTGCTCCTAGCTGCAGTGTGCCGCCTGGGGCCAGCAGCACGTCTGGCTTCCTCAGCCCTCGACTATCTTCCCCAGCCCTGCCCCAAATCCCACTTATCTCTGTGCTCCAGGGGCAAAGGGCGAGTGTGAGCCTGAGCTTGGCCTTGGCTGCCTCAGAGGCTCAGGCCCTGCCCTCGCCCCTCCGTCCCCCTCCAGCCAGGGCTGGGGGTTTCCCGCCCTTTTTGCAATTAGCTCTTGCAGGCTGGAGCTGTGCCAGCCTGCAAGACCTCTTTGCAAAAGTGGAGAATCTGTAGATTTCTCTGCTAAGAAGAGAGATCCGCGTTTTCTCTGATAAAAACCGTGATCTGTGGTTTTCTCCGTTTTTCTGTGGGAAACAGAAAACCCAGATCCCTGGTGATGACCTAAATGGATTCTATCAACCTGCCAACTCTTGTGCTTTTGTAACCAGTTTTCTGTAGGTTTTTTTTAAATGTCTTTATTTTTCTCTGTCTTAAAACAAATAGGGAAAACTGACTAACAGTTATAATACTATATTCTGTAGAGCAGATAATTAAAAGAAATGTTTGTTTAATTTATTGTGGTCCCAAGTGGAGTGATGAAAGAGAGAGAGAAATTTTTTGGCAGAGGTGTATTTTTCATTTAATTCATTTTCTTTAATACGTTTCAGAGGTGTAAGTTCATAATGTCGCATTAAAAAGTCAGTTTCATTTAAAAGTAAAATATTTAGAAGCCTGTTTCTCCAGTCACCTAGCAAGTGCAGAGTTCTGTGTTCTCCCATATTCTTGTCCAAAGTGGGCATGGGTATAATCTAAAGCTAAATGAACAGTGCACAAATCCAGGGTGAAATCTGAAGCTCATTGAAATCAAAAGCAAACTCCTCTTGACTTCAGGATTTTATGTAGGCCTTGTGCCTTCAAGTATGACCCTGTAAGAACTTATCCATGTTGAGGTGAATAACTTCACTTGCTCACAAAATTAAGCAGGCAGTGTTGGGGCCTTAATTTGTACTTTGTTATGCTTTCTTCTTATTTTTTTCATAATGATATGGCCAATGGGAACATGTGTATATATATGGAATGGAAAGATTTGCTGGGTTTTTAGGAGTTCAGTTGATGTTGATCCATTAAAATGCTAATGGCTGGTTTCATAAAAAATAGATCTTGTCAGAAAGCAGGGATGTGCTTTTAAAAAAATCACATCACTTTGTTTCTGTTTTTCATGCAGACTTTTTCCTCACAAAACTGAAATTCTGCAAGTAATCATACGATGTGTTTAAATTTAGTTATTTCAATTTTGGGCTCAATCCTCACTTAAGTGAATCTCCTACAGAAATGGTACCTGAGCAGGGTGCGTTCTTCAGGAAATATAAATCTTTATTTTCCACAATTGAAGTCATAAAAAAGTGTTTGAAAAACT